TGAATGCCCTTAGAGTTTTGCGCGCTTGTGTTCTCGATTCCTGCGCGAGGATAGTAAACCCTTACTTCAAAATCTTCTCCGTTATGTCTCTGCGTCCTATGCGTGATTAGTGGAGTGTTTGGTTTACGTTTGCCGACTAGGTGTTCTCTTATACGGACGAAGAGTGGTCTACCCGTTTCGCCAACGTATTCGTTCCCTCACGCTTTACCCGTCTCTACCATTGGGGCAAATTATGCAATTTTGCGTTGCACATAGACGGTCGTATAGGCGGTTACGAACCAGCTGGGGTCTTAAATTACTCGGTGGCATTTCAGTTATCGTTACCGAATTCTCCAGACCGGCTCTTCTTAAACAGAATTTTATAGCTGCACTTACTTCATTTGAAATGAAGAGCAGTATAAACGGGACTTTATTGCCGCTAGAGCTATCGTTGGGGGTACCTGTGGTTTCTTCTACACCTATCTCGAGCCACAGTTTCGTAGCCATTAGAAATGGCTATTTGCCGAGCCAAGTTCCGGGACTCCTGTCTCTGCTGTCTTCCTGTGCACACGCTGGAAGCTGTTGTGAACATCTTTCTCACAAGAGAAGAATGAGAGGAGAGGTAATAAACCAAGACGTTTTTACTACTTGGCTTTCGATAACATTTCGTAATGTAGCCGCTTTCTGATAGGTGAACTTACACGTCCAGAAATAGAAGCCAGTTTTTCTTCGGTTCTTTCGAGTGAACTTGATATACTCCGACTGTTCGTTCAAGAACTCGAAACATCTGTCAATTTCTTCTTGTGTTGAGCAAATGACAAAACAGTTATCTATAAATCTACTTTAGAATAGCGGCCCGAGGTCGATTAATGGTGCTTCCACCTTAGACTTGAATGCAATGGCAAGGCCTGGTGCCCGTCGTTGTCCCATTGCCAGCCCTCCCATTTGTGCGTAATACTTCCCGGACCATCTGTAGATTGAGCAGCTCAAGCATTCTTTTAAGAGTGCCCTCAACTGCTCTTGAAACCACACGTGTTTATTCCTCCTTCGTGTTGTATAAGGAGTTCGAATATGGGTTGCTTTGCGGGGTCATTCGACACGTTTGTAAAAGGGCTGTAACGTCGAAGGACTCCATAGTGCACACGCTGTTGGGCGCAGTACGTAGACGATCCAGAAACATTTGGGTATTCGTAAGATGGGCTGAAATTTGTTCCAACAACTGGGTAAATATTAGGTTAAAAAACCATGTTATCCTATTCGTTGGCCCATATACACAGCAAGTGATAGGTCTAACCTTAAACAATGGTGGATCGGTGGACGTAAGATCATCGCTGGATACTAACTTATGAGTTTTTATAGGCAAGTACAAGACAGGACATGTTGGTTAGTCAACTTTTAGTTGAGAGCTAACTGATGGTTTTAAACCAGCATCCCTTGCCATTTTAACGAATTTGTGGTTCAATTTTCGACATTTGCTTTTGAACTCCTTCTCAGATGACGGGCGATAAAGTGAAGCATCTTCAAGGTGCTTTTTCGTTATCTCAACGTCTAACTGATGGGGAATTACGACAAGCTCTCCACCCTTATCACTAACGGATAGTCTTATGTTTTTGAACCTTATCAACTCTCGTACCTCTCGCATACCACGTTTTTGCGTTTCAGTGAGGTTGGATCTTTTCGCGCGAAGTGATTGAGGATTTTCAAAGTTTCACTCATAAACATCCGAAATTTAAAGTCAACTTCATTATTGGGTTCTTGTTGTCTAACGAACGGTTAAGAAAATAGTTAGTTATATAGTTATTAGTTATTATTTTATTATAGTTATTAATAGTTATGTGCTCATAGTCAGCGGATATGGGACGCCCAGAATATCCGTCGTTGAACGAAAAGCGGGAAAGGTGAGCGATAGAGGGGCGGCTAAATATAGAAAACCATCGAAAGTAGCCTCATGTAGCAATTCCAAAACCTACATGAAGTAGCTTGCAAAGATTCTTTTTTGTATTTTTCATTCTACCTAACCCATCTCTACATTTACTTTGCGGATCTCCGCAGTTTTTGCTTTCGTTTCTTCGTCACCCATCATCCACGAAGGTCCTTGAAAATTTCACGTGTGCTTTCAGTTTCAACGTGAGGATTGCCTTCTTCTTTATGAATATCGTTGAATGCACGTCGACTCGATTCTTCATGGCGTCTATGGACATCCAGGTTCCCACTTGTACTGGAAATAGCAACCTGTTTACATACAAGTCTGGTATTCGTGGTTCGGGCGAGATGAGATCGTTGGTGAGCCAGATGAAGTGTTGCATCATCACGATGTTCACGTTGAACGGCATCACGTCCACTGCGCTAGCCATTCCCAATACTTTAGCATTTTTTTAAAATTGCTTGACTCCTCTTCACATTTGCTATGCGGATCATACCACTTCTTCTATTCATTTCCCTGCGACCTACAACCCCACGAAGGTCTTCGAACGTTTTACGTGTGAGTTCGTCTGCAACTTGAGAATTTCTGTATTCTTTCTGAATGCCGCTGAATGTTGGTTGAGTCGATTATCCCTATAGGCCTAAGATAGTTGTGCTACGGCGTTCATGTGCCAGTATCTGGAAAGATGAGAGGCTTGTTGAAACCAGGCAAAGTCAACGTGATCATGCTCATAATTAGCCTCATCGTTACTAGCAAGTTCCTTGCAATTGCCTTTCAGAAAACAAAAAAGTATAGATTGTGTCGGAAGTTCAAAAATAAAGTAGGCAATTTTGCATCTTTTCTCTCATTAGCGAAAATAAAGCCCACTACAAAGAGGTGTCAAGTGTTCTGCTCAAAAGCTCCTGGTTGAGCCATATCCTGGACCAAGCGGTCGCTTGACCTTTCATTATTCTCTCAACAAAATCGAAATTTATTTGCAAAAACTGAAATTTTGCTGGTTAACCTTAGTTATGCTCGATTCCACATATTCTTTCTTTCTGAATTTATATCCGGAAAACCAATTTGACCGATCATCTTGAGAATTATGGTAATCATAAGAAACTCTAGAGGTTCACACTGTACTCTCAATTTTAAAAAAACGAACATTTGAATTCACAGAGTAAAATAGTAATCCTCACCGATCAAGGTATGCAACAGTGGTCTCTTGATTAACTGCATGAAGAAGCTTGCTGATGGGCTCGTCCGATAACATTCCTCCCCAACCCATACACCTACGGAAAAAAATCAGAATGCAAAATTAATGCCAACAAAGAATCTCTATACCTGGCTAGATCGTTGCCAGTTCCTAGCGGCATAATCGCCATTGGAGGATAAGTAGGCCAGTTCAACTAAAAACCTGTTACATTAGTGCCAACTGAATTAAAGTAAAACTAGATTTTATGCGCTCTATGGAAAAAAAACAGGAATTTATCACTTGCTAAATACTTGGAGATGGATCTTATCGGAGCAATCTTTTTCCAATCTGAAAAACGACTAGGTGATCTCCAAAGTTACAGAAGTTATAAATGAAAGTTAGATCTCGTATATAATGCTGAGATATTTGCAAAACTTCGGACCGCAGGTGAATGCGGTGGAGAGCGAACACGCGCTGTTGTCCTTACCGGGGAGCAGCGCACTTCACCACCACACCATCCGGGTTCTTCGTTTTGCCTGTCTCTCAGCTAGTTCTATTGATCTTTTGCCATCAGCAATCACCCGTCAGCGGGATTGATCTGGGGAGCCTAAATCGGCATTGAACCCAGTTAAGCTGAGGCTTAGTTATAATCACAATCGTAACCCTTTTATTTACTGCCTTTTTCTCTTTAACGGCAGGTTATTAAGGCGTTCCCAACCGCATACACCTGCGGTACCGAGTTTTGCAAATATCTCAGCATTATATACGAGTTATATTTCGCAACATACCCTGCCATTAAAAAGAAAAAGGCAGTAAATAAAAGGGTTACGAAAGTTAGATCGTCACATTGAACTCGTTGGCCTCTGTCATAACAAATGCTTACTCGCAAATAGACATTCTAGATGGAATTTTTTATTTTTTTTCTAAATTCCTGTCAGCACGGGGGAGCCTGCTAGTAAATGGAGAATAGAGTCATTAAACCATTAGGAAAACTCACATTATCCAGTGTTTGCAGTACCCATCCGACAGTTCCGTCACCTCCACAAACCAGTAACCTCAACTGAGAGACAACCTTTCGATATATCTCCAATCTATAATGGTATTTCTAATCAGAAAATTGAAATGAAAACTCAGGGGCAATCACACTTACCCAAATTTTGGTCCTTTGAGACTTGTAATGTCGAATACCTGCCGTGGATTGAGCAACCAACATAATGTGTGCAGGGCCTTTGACCCCTAGATGACATTCTGTATATATATATATATATATATATACATGTATATAAACATACATGAAGCTAAAAAGGACAAAGCTCTCGGCGTTGACCAATCTCTGAGGGTTGCCCAAACATGCGACTTCATTACGCATCGCTTGGAGGCGACTGAATGCTTATCTGGCATTTACAGTGACTTCCAGTGACCTACCAATGTATCGAGTCAGTGCTGCTATCCTTACAGACAAGTCGGGTACCGATTTGCCGGCTCAGGAGGTGTGGAGTGCTGGTGGGCCAGGAGGCCGGTATCGATCCCGTATGTAATGCAGAAGGCCTCCGGCCACTGCGCCACATACGCCTCTATATACATATATTGCAAATATAGTATTTCCAGCTCCCATTGCCGATTCTCTTGCACAAAAGTGATTTTGCCTAGAAAACAAGCACTCCGAAGTAATATTCGACTTCATCGGTTTCTAGAAGAAGATACGAAGGTATAGCGACATTAGCTCTAATTTGTCATTACTAGTGCCTAGCTTTAACCTGTGCCATATAAAAAAATCTAAAAGACTGAATGGAGAAATAGCGCAGTGGTTAGTGATGCCGCTGATCTGGAAGCAAACGCGCCAGTTCAACCCCTTGAGCAACGCTCTTCTCCAATCCACGCGTGAACGCCTCAGTACGGTTATGTCCAAGATTGCAAGCAGAATCAACTCGAGCAGCACTCTACGACATTTATTAAAAGAGATGAAATTCTCGAGCAGCGGAGGAAGGAGCGGGCGAAATGTTCAAAGACCACTGTGGACGGTGAATGTGAGGAAAAAACGAATGGAGTGGAAGAAGTGCTGGAATGCGCACAGTAGATACGATAATGGGTTATGTGAAATAAAAAAACAAAAAAAAGAATTGAATAAATAGTGAATAGTTCGTTAACGAAGCATAGTTTGCCTTTGAAACACCAGACCTTATTGCCTCCTGATTTTGGATTGACGAAAACAACTAGAGGTTGTGATGGACCCGTTGACCAGTCATTCGGCTTCACAACAAATTGGCGAGTAGCCTAAAATCGAGTATATCACATTTGAATCGTTTATTTTTGCACCTCTGACGGTTTTAGCCAGTATTTTTGAACAAATGGTTTAATTAGTATATCACTATGAAGGATGTTGATTGTTCTTCTTTCTCCGTTAACATGATGACTACAGTTCGAACACTATTTTCTTGGAATTTGGAAGAGCCATGTTAAAAAGGTTTTAGATCTCCAGCACAAAAAGTCATTTGGTCTCCTTAATCAGAGAAAGGATAGTTACCTTAGTATTAGGATGCGACAAGTGTTCGACACAGAACACAGTTTATTCTTTGGAGAGGTTATGCAAGAAGTGGGAGAATCATTATCATTGAGAAGTCCACCGAAGAGGAGTAAACTAATGCTACGAAGTGGATTTCTCATGAAAGAAGCAAATTCCAAATCGGCACACGTCTTTCCGTGTTAAAGACCAGGAAAAGCACATGTACCAGTTTCTTGAGAGGGATGAGTCTTATCATGTAACCAAGCTACCACACGATTCTTCGTGAACTGGACCTTCCAAGTACAAAACAGTTATCAAGACCCAATGATGCATGTGGATCACGAATGGCTAAACTGCCGTTAATCTTTCAACATTCTTCATAGCATTTTAGAACAAAGTATGTTAAAATAATTAAACTGACTTTCCGACTTTTTCGGTTTAAGAGTTGTTTGTGTCTACTACGATGACGGCTCGGTAGACGAAAAATCCAATTCGGCGGTACGATAATGCCCTTCAGTTGACCACGATTGCACCTATTTATTCAAGATTCGCCTCAAAACCATGGGATTCTGCACTATTAAAAGATCTATACTATACTAATACAGTAACCACTGGCAGTAATAGTAAATTTTCATTGGTTGCTGTTGCACGAACTCCTGTATTCATCTGCTCCTATGAGCCATTTTACTTGCTTTTATATCAAACAAAATGATAAATAAATATTACAGCGCCTTTCATCGTAAATAATTCAAATCGTCGACGCTTATCCTTTGAGTAAAAAAGGCAAGACTTTTGCTCATTGATAGGATTACTAGAGGAAATGGCGTCGATCAATCACACAACGAGTTTGATGTAAGACGATCAAAAGCCGAGCTAAGTTTTTGATATTCACAGTATGTCTGCTTTAGTTTCTTTGGAAAAACTAATAAAATAAATGACTGTACACCTATAATATGGCTAGACATATATGTATGAATCTACCTTTCCTCTAGTTTCTCGCGAGTAAAGCAATTCCTCAGATGATAGGACTCTTTACACCATGAGCACACAACGGCCATCGTTTCCTGAAGAGTAACAATAAGACTAAAGTGGTGACTGAAAAGTAAAACGCACATCAATATGATGGAAAAAATTAGGTGCCTTTATCGGTCATTTGGTCTGGACATTCAGGAATAAAAATGTTGATTTTGATTAAAACAATCAATAATCATTACTACGGCCTGGACGATTTTCATAAACGCACCTTCTCTTTCTGTTGAAAGTTGAACATCTTCTGCTGAAATGACTTCTCGCACTTACTACATCGACCTTCATGACGCCACTAAATAGAGTAGATTGAGGGAAAAATACAAATAGGTTGAAAGCAAGAAGTCTGAGATAAGGTAAGGTTACTGCAAGAATAAGAGAGTTACTGCTTACACACATCGAATTACGTTGATATTATCATGGAGCAAAGACTACTGTAAGATTAGGGTTATTACTGATTTACACACATTGAATTGCACTAATATTATTATGGAATATTCTTTTGCTTTTGTGATGCTTGATTCCCTTTCAAATTAAGGCTCTTAACCTTTTTCCAAGAGTGGACATCTTTTTTCTGAACAAATATAATTTTAACTTATTATTCACTGCCCACTCTTTTTAATGGCAGGGTATATATTGCGAAATATAACTTCGATGATGCTGAGATATTTGCAGCTGGAAAACAGGCGAAACGAAGGACCCGGATGGTGTGGTGGTGAACGTGTTACTCCCCGGAAGGGACAATAGCGCGTTCGTTCCACGCCGCAGACACCTGCGGTCCAGAGTTTTGCAAATATCTCAGCAACATTGAAGTTAAGCAAATATACTCTAAATTACCAATTGATGACAATATTTTTGTGAAACAATCGATATACCAAAAAATTGACAAAAAAGATTCTCCTAACCCACCTTGTGGATCCAATGATGCATACTTAAACTGTCGATCATTTCTTTTGATGGTCGTTTCTTCATGGTATGATCATGGAATGTCACTTTGCAGTTCAGATTTAGCTTAAATTATGCATGGTTAGACATTTATTAACTGGCCATCAGTGGCGAGCAAAACTGCTTAAGAATTTTACTATAAGATCTTTCTTCATAGCTTCAGATAGCATTGAAGAAAATGTCGTTTCCTTAATACTATTCATAAAAATTAAGTAGAGGATTTTGATTATCAGATTCACCATGTCAAAACTCATTCTCTGTTTACGAATGTTTTAACTTTCTGCTTTCAATCCCCTCAGGTTTTTGGATTCTTGTTCACATAGACTTCAACTAAAGTAAATGATCTAGAGCGCAATCGTCGTAAGATTCGTTGGTGGTGAAGAGAATATCAAGCGCCGACTGAAAATAGAATCATCCACTTAAGCGAAAATAAAAGAGGATTCAGAGGGAGGGTTTCTTATCTAAGACTCGCCGGAGTGACTTATCTTCATTAAAAGTGTAGTGGTGATATTCATGAATCCATGAATAACAAACAATGCCATATTAGTAATAAAGGGAAAAAGGATGAAGCATTCGGCGTTGATCAACCCTTCAGCGATGACCATGCATTCCGCCTAATCAAGCACCCTTAGTGGTGGTTGAATGCAGATCTGACCTATATAATGACATGTGGTAGAATATCGAGGTGTAAATTCGGTGCTGCCATCTTCCCAGATAAGTTTCGTATCAATTTGCCGACCTTTTACAGATGCAAGGACTGCTGAGCCCTGAACGCGGGAAGAATCAGGTGTGTATTGCAAGGGACCTCTAACCAATGGGTGAAATGCCTTTCATCCAATAATAATGCGAAATATCAATAATAATAGTAATTCCGGCTATCTATTAAACTCTGCAATGATTAAATAATTCTCGATATTCTTGTTGAGCAAAGACAACGTGTTACTTTATTCTTTATATCGTTAACGCTGACGTTTCAGCGGATTTCGTCTTCTTCAAAGCCTTGAAGGGTATACTGGTATGGAATTTACTGCGCGAAGCAGTAGCACAAACAGAAAGATGGAAATTGAAAGGGAAATAATTCGAAACCGACTTTCCCTGAACCTCGGTATCACTAATCAATATGCTTTCTTTCTTTGATGAGCTTACACGAGGTTGATAATGATGTTTATTTTCGGCTAACGTTTCGACGTCTTCGTCTTCCTCAGAGCCGATGATCCGAGTCGATGGTCCTCGCTTGTTATTCGTCTCGACGTGGCAGCTTCGCCTTCGTGTCGAGGTCTTCTTCAATGAGCCATCTCCACGAATGACGCATCCTTATTCAGTGATGCCCTTTTATACACGATGCTGATGGTCGATATAATGATAATGTCCGGTGATAACAACTTGTTTTTCTTCCGGACATACATCAGTGCGCACATCGTGCAGAAGTATATATACTATATATATTATATATATTATATTATATATATTATATTACATATTATTATATTATGTTATATATTATATTATTAATATTATATATTATATTATATTATAATATTATTATATTATTATTATATTATATTATATTATTATATTATATTATATATTATATTATGTTATATTATGTTATTATATTATATATATTATATTATATTATATATTATTATATTATGTTGTATATTATATTATTTATATATTACATTATATATAATATATATATACTATATATTATATATATTACATATATTATATATATTATATATATTATATATATTATATATTATTATATTATGTTGTATATTATATTATTTATATATTATATTATATATAATATATATATATTATATATATTATATATACTACATATATTATATATATTATATATATTATATTATATATATTCTATATATTATCATTATATCGACCATCAACATCGTGTATAAAAGGGCATCACTGAGTGAGGATGCCTCATTCGAGGAGATGGCTCACTGAAGAAGACCTGACTCGACACGAAGGCGAAGCTGCCACGTCGAGACGAATAACAAGCGAGGACCATCAACTCGGATCATCGGCTCTGAGGAAGACGAAGACGTCGAAACGTTAGCCGAAAATAAACATCATTATCAACCTCGTGTAAGCTCATCAAAGAAAGAAGACGTATTGAAAGAGAAATTACGCAATCAATAGCTTCTCGAAGTGCCCAACGTATTTTTGACGTGCCTTGCACTGAAGGAGAACCGCTGATAAGAGTGCCATATGCTTGATGACTGCATCGACGCACAGCAAAACTCAATGCGGAGTAACAGGGCGAGATCACGTGTGATCTTCGGGCATTCCCCTCTACTATTCATTGTAGGGTTTTTGGAGTTTATCGAAAAAGCCTCTAGAAGTTATCGCGTTGATGTTTTGGCATTCCGTGCGAGGACATTGATTTTTATATCCAAATCGTCTCCGCTATGCTTTTTTGTATCCTATGCCTCCCTAGTGGGGTACTTTGCCTTGCTTTTCGTTTGCCATCTATACAGATACATAATTATCTGCCCATTTCGCCAATATATCCATAATATATTCAATATATTCAATATTCAATGAAGGGGAGCATAAACGGGGTTTTCTCTTGCCCAAGTATTTCCTTTTGGAGCGTCGTTCTCCTTTTAAACTTATCTCGTGGAGTTACTATTTCGTAGAAATCAGAAAAGACTATTTGCAGAGCCAAGTCGCGCGAATTTTCCTTTAGTTCCTTGGTTGTGCACAAAGTGGTGGCTGTTCGAAACATGTTTCTCACAAGCGCCCTCTTTGTGGGCGAGGGGAGGGAAAAGTGGAAATGAACGACGTTGTTGTTACTTAGTTTTTTTTCGGTACCACTTTATCATATAACCGCTATCTGATAAGTTAATTTGAACGTTGAGAAATGGAAGCCAACGTTCTTTCTCTTTATGCTGGGTGAATTTAATCTCATTCAGTAATCTTAACCCTTTTATTTACTGCCTTTTTCTTTTAATGGCAGGGTATGTTGCGAAATGTAACTCGTATATATAATGCTGAGATATTTGCAAAACTCCGGACTGCAGGTGTATGCAGTGGGCAACGAACACGCACTGTTGTGCTTACCGAAGAGCAGCGCACTTCACCACCACACCATCCGGGTCCTTCGTTTTACCTGTCTCTCAGCTAGTTCTATCGATTCTCATTCAGTAAATCAAAATATTTGTCGAGCTTCTCCTGCGAAGGCAAAATGACAAAACAATCATCTATATATATACAGCAGAGTACCAGCCGGCGATCCATAACGGGCGTTTCTATTTTATGCGTGAATGAAATGGCGATACTGGGTGCCAGTCGCTGCTCCATTGCTAACCCTCGCATTTGCGCATAATATTTCATAGACCATACCATTTATTTCATAGACCTGACCGTATGTAACTCCGGTCAGCGGTTGTTTTCCAGTGGAAAGGTACGTAGAAAACGGTGGGGTTTTCGAGTAACTGCTGATTGTGCAATTACAATTTCGATGTCCATCTTTCTATTGAAGTGTTTGGCATAGTAAATTGTATGCTAAAATACCCTTCGAAGCCGTACTGCCGAGACGTCAGCTTTAACGAAATAAAGAATAAAATAACCGCCGTCTTTGCCCAACAAGAATATCGAGGATAATAACAGTGTAAAAACAGGCCGCCAATAATGAGTTCTGGCCAGATTTAATCAAGAAAAAAGCAGATCTTTACTGTGAAGTATGTCCAGTTGACAGCTAAAAGCCATACTTATTAATGGTCTTCCAACAAAGTAATTTCACTAAATATGATTGCCTCGCCGGGCACAAGGTCAAAGGACAGTCTTCTACTTCAAAGATAACTGTTAGCAGTTAGCAGTTAGCACAATAGCAGTTACGAAACACCGGATTAGAAAAGTGCAGCAGGAAAAAATATTGTAAAAATTTGCGTATATATTCTTACAAACTGCTCTTTTTTAGCCGACGCGAAGTTGTAATAGTTCAATGGCTGGTGCTTCGGCGGCTTCGCCTTCTTCAGAGCCTGGACGTATCGTATGTAACAGTAGCCCCACAATTCGGTGAATTACATAGTATTAATGAAGATCCAGCATATGAAAAGACTTTTTTTTTCTTTCTTTGTCTCTTGAGAAAGGCATCTCTCTCTGAGGAAGAGGAAGTCGCCGAAACGTCAGCCATTGAACAAAGACAACAACAACAATAAGAACATCTATATAGCAACCTCGCATCGAAAAAAGGAAAGTTCGTAAGAACAAATACATAGATATATCTATCACGCCGAACTTTATAGAAAGTCGGTCTTCTGAGTTATTATAAAAAGTAATCACATCTACCTTAGCTAGAAGTGAAAAACAAGAAGTATGAGCGACGATATGGCAGGCGGCACACCGACGTTTTTCACCTATCTTACGACAATCCTGAAAAAAGCATTTTCTTTGCCAATAATTTTAAGAAGGATACAAATCGGTTTAGCTTATGAAAAAGTATGCTCGATCAGAATACGGGAAAGCCGACATTTACTCAAGGTGCAGAATTGTGATGTTCAGAAGAGTTTCGAATCCCATAAGAAGAACTTAAGACCTGAAAAATTTGACAGTGCTATTGCAATGTCCAGCTAGTAGCAAATTAGTGCCAGGTGAAGAACGATGAACTATGTTCTCGGTTGAAAACGGCTAATTTGAAGCCCTTTATAGTAAGATTACGTTAAAGATCATTATTAGGAGATTCTACGCCTTTTTGTAATTGCATTAAAGAGTTCGGTTTCAAAAACGATTCTCCCTTATTTTTTATCCTAACGATACCATACTGACCTCTTGTGTATTAAGTATTTTGTAAAATCGTGCTGAGCACCGCAAAAAAATGAAAACCAGCAGAGCCGAAGTATTTTTAATGTCTAAAAAATTTAGTCACCGTTTAAAACATAGCATTAAGGTTTACTTCATGCTCCTCAATCGTATTCAACCACCCACTCAAAGAGGAACTAATCACATTGTTTGACGTCAAAGAGGGTACTCTAGCCAGACGACAAGGTCTTCTAAGAGTTCAATCCGGATGGTGGAAATCATTAAAATACATACGAGAAAAGTTTTGAGCAGCATATGATTGTGTTCAAAGTCAAAGTTTCTCGACAGTTATGGTGAACATTCGTGGCCGAATACGTTCACGGTTCAACGGATTAAATATAAAAAGGATGAAACATAAAGCATTTGGTGTTGATCATTCCCTTAGTAATACCGCATGCATTTGAGCTCATTCGTATCATTTGAGAGCTCGTTAGATGCATACCTGGCCTATACAATAACTTGCGGTAATCTGCCAATTTACTAGATCAGTGTTTTTATCATCCCAAACGAGTCTGCTACGAATTTCCCAACCAATGGAGGATTCGGTTTGCTAATAGCTCGTAAACTAACCAGTGACTATTTCATAGTGTATCGCAAGTCATCTCTAGCCACTGCACCACACGAGCTCCGTAATGCATAAATAATGCAAGGTATCAGACGATAGTGACTAAATGAAATGGTGAATTTTGCGCTGATCCTCAGCGCGATGAACAGAAATCATCCACAAGACGAGCATCTAACGAAATGATGTTGCTCTCTTCAATGTTCGATTCGTGCTGCCGTAGTTACGTGTGAACTCGCCTTTTATCACATGTGTTGACCGAGTATGAATAAGATAAGCGAGCAGAGAATTCGAAATTTCCCAAACGGTGCATGAAGACAGGATATCTATGCTGCCATGAAAGACCGGTTCCGTGGAAAATATGTAAACCTGAAGAAGAAAGAACCTTGTCTCCAACATAACATTCTGAGTCAACAGAGGCTGAAGAGTCAGGTCTTGACGATGGCAACCAAATATGCTCAGCTGGATGAATCTGAAATGGATTTTTAAAGTCGATACTTTTGCGAAAACGTTCTAACTTTGGATAAGACGTTTAAAGATATGAAATACTCAAAGCCTTGAAAGTTCTTCTAACAAATAACAAGTACAATTTAAGTACTGGGTTAATTTGAACTTCTCAATTTGCCGCTCACTAATTCAATTTCGTGTTTTTGTTAAAATCCCTTGCTTTTCCCTTCTGCGCTGTTCTCATCATCATTTATACTTTCAAGCAACTATAATAACTAAGCCGCTAGATTTCCATATACTTTTAGAAGTTTTTGCAACATCTTGCGTTACTGTTACTACTACTATTATTACTAGGATTATTAATATTATTATCACTTCTATTATTACTGTTGCTAATGTTATTATTGGCTACCTGAATATTATACTGTTTGCAATTGCTCAAGAAGAAATTCACTTAAGAAAGCACAGCTATTCAAATTCACTACTCGGTAGAACAGGAAAAAAAAGTCGTACTTTAATGAACGGAAGACTAGAAACTTGAAAGACCTCCCTACTTCCGTTTCTCCACGGAGCTCCCTCACATGAGGGATCCCGACAGCCGGTTAGTCGCGAGGATACGTGGCGCGCCCCAAAGTGGCGGATAGGGGTAATCGCAGACCTTTGTTTCACTGAGACGCAGGTGGATCCAGGGGATGGACTCCCTGTTTCTGCTGCGCCCATTTGGCACATACTTCCTGTATTTGCTAGGCGTACTCATGCATGCGTGTGTGGGTGCGTTCTTGGTTATGCGGATTGTATTCTACGAGTGGATTCCGCAAAACCCTGCAATCAAATAACAGGGAAGTATATTGGAGGCGATTAGAAGTGGCCTCCAACAAATAAGCTTCGTGTCCACTCTGGGAGAGCCTGGTAAGCTATTCGTGAGTATATCCAGTTCCCACGTTCAGAGCCCAGCAAGCTCTGGGTGGGTATCAAACAGCTAAAAACAGCGGAAGCGTTGGGTAGGACGAGTACGGAGAGGCTGCTAAAATCTCAGAGCCAATGGGAGCTGCCTGGATTGCTAAGCACTAAGGTGACGATCTGTACCTACAATGCACGTACACTAGAATCCGAGTCCTCGGTAGATGAACTGCTCATGTTAGCAAGAAGGATAGGTCATCGTTATCGTCATCGGCCCGGTCGAAGCGATACGACGCCACCCATTCAACGCCGTCTATGACACGGAAGAAGAACTGTTCCTCGGAACACGCGACAGTAAAGGAGTCGGCAGCGTCGGTGTTCTCGTCAACACGAGTTTCTCCATGAACATCGATTCATTTGAACAACTATCAACCCGAATCGGACGTTTGCGATTAAAAAGATGTGGATCAATACCAGCTTTGAAAATCCTAGTCGTTCACTCTCCGACATCAAACCATGACGAAGTAGAAGTCCAAGCGTTCTATGTGGACATGCAGACGTTTTACAAAGAAGACCGTACATTTTTCAAGGTCATCACTGGAGATTCAAACGCCAAGACTGGACCAAGAAGAACGTCTGAAGAACGTCACATTAGGACATTAGGAAACGAACAGAGTGAGCGGCTCTCTGAATTTATCATGACAACCAAGACTATCCATGGTAACTCGCAATTCCAGAAGCCCCACCCTCAACGGTGGACGTGGGAGTTTCGCAATAGAGAGCACGAAAACGAAATAAACCACATCGTAGTAAATGGAAGGTTTTGCCCAATTGATGTCGCTGCTGTTCTAAAATTCTACACGGGTTCAGACCATCGCCTTCTTTGTGCAAGTTTCTATTTCGCGAGGAAAGAAGAAAAAACCGCTGAATTCAAAATCCGAAGTCTTAGGACCACCATAAACTGGGACTTATTCAATTCATTTGTCGGCTGTTGGAGAGATGCCATTGTCGATAACATCGACGAAGAATGCTATCGGCACATCCAACATCTCCACGTTAATGCAATAAAAGCTGAGAGTTCGAAAGTCACCAAGAAACATCTGTCTCCAAAAACACTAGAGTTTATCCACTCGAGCTTAATAGGGCGAGCTTCAGGCATCGCGAACTAACGTCCGAACGTGCAAAACAGTGCAGATAGGCGATAAGAAAAGATCTTAAAGAGAGAAGAGCAGCAGTGATGGTCGAACCTGCAGAAACTGGGAAAACCATTCGCAAAGCCAACCGAAGTTTCGCTAATTACAAGATGTGGATAATTACACTCCGACGCTCGGAAGGAACAGATACAGTGTCCAGAAAGGAAATGGAGAAAATCCTTCACGAACACTATTCGGATCTCTTCGATAGCCACGACCATCTTCCGTCATATGAAATAAAGGGGGATGGATATGTTGTACCACCGGTTCTCCCTTCCGAAATCCGACATGCCTTCTCGTTGGTGAAAAATCGAACAGCAGTAGGTCCAGACAGGGTAAGATCAAAACACTTGAAGAACCTTCCGCCTGTCCTCGCAAAGACACTGGCTTGGCTCTTCACACGTAACCTCTCTGAATGCAGAGTTCCTACTCAGTGGAAGACCAGCAAGACCGTGTTATTGTTCAAGAGAGGTAACCTACTCGATATCGGCAAATATTGCCCAATTTGCTTAATGTTTATCGTCTACAAGCTTTTATTCGAGCCGCTATAAACAGAACACTGGGCGAAGTACAGCCATGTGAGCAAGCAGGGTTTCGAAAAGGATTCAGTACGATGGACCACATCCACATGGTAACAAGGCACATTGAAGTACCGCGAGAGTACAAAAGACCGCTCTGTCTCACTTTCATCAATTTACAGAAGTCCTTTGATTCAGTTGAGATAGAAGCAGTTATGGAAGCCCTTGATAGTCAAGGAGTCCCTACTTAGTACTTAAAGACTCTTCGTGAGCTGCACAGAAATTTCACAACCAAGGAATCAGCATTCTACAACGATATTAACACCGTCGTCAAAAGAGGAGTTAGGCAAGGCGATACCATCTCGTCAAAATTATTCACTTCCACCTTCCAGAACGTCATGCAAACATTGGAATGGGATAATATGGGAATGAAGATCGGTGGTCGGCAGTTACACAATCTTCGCTTTGCTGACGACATCTTCCTTGTAACACCAAACATTAGCCAAGCGGAAGGTATGATTGCTGCCTTTTATAAAGCCTATGCAAAAATTGGTCTTCGACTAAATCTTACAAAAATGATGTTCATGAGGAACGGATTGGTTTCGTATGCTCCATACGCGCTCAACGGAACTGATATCTCTTAATGCTCCAGTTATGTTTATCTAGGTCGGGAAATCAACATGTTGAATGAATCAGCTCTAGAGTTGAGCAGAAGGAAACGAGCTGCTTCGTCAACTTTCAAAAGCATCTGCCCTAATGTATGGGTCAGAAACCATGTCGCTGCGCGAGCAGAATGAAAGAGCACTCAGCGTTATTGAACGCGTAGTCGAAAAGACGATGCTAGGAGTATTCCGTTTTACACAAGTAAGGGAAGGGTTCCGAAGCTCCGTCCTGCGTCAACGATCAAAAATCAAAGATGCCGTTCAGTACGCTAAACAGTTGAAGATAAGGTGTGCCGGACACGTAATGCATATGAATGACAACCAATGAACAGGAGCTGTTTGTGGCTGGATTCCTCAGGATGTCAAACGCACTGCAGGAAGACCACCGACCCAATGGTCAGAGTTTTTCGCGTAAAACCTAGAAGAAAGATATGGTGCTCGACGAGTCCCTAGAGCGAGCAGAATCCACTGAGCTATCTTGCTTGCGACAGGGAAAATGGAGGTTTTATTAGCGCCCCATCGAGTCACTCGACGATCAATGGGACTGCAGGTGATATAGGTAATGCTTTCGTTTTTGATTCTGTTTTAACACTTCTCTGAATAAATTAGCAGAAAGACTGAGGGAAAGATTCGTCGCCGAAAACATGCCTCCCTCGGATCCACATCGTGGTGAAGACCTGTATACGCCCTTGCAAGGTTAAATCAGGACTCCAGGGACTACCAAAGTGAACGACCAGCAATATGCTAGCATCAGTACCCCGCACACTGGGTGCTCCCTTCTATGACGTCAGGTGGTGAGGCGACCGATGAGAGGCCACAAATTCTGGGAATACGCAGGACATCGCTGGTACCGGGTCTGACGAACTCACGCATGACACGCTATGGAGATTATTTCTTACTAGGCATGTGTAATGCCAGCACGCTACCCATAGACGCTGATCTTTACGTCCTTCTTTTAGCTGAAGATTGTATTAAATTTCGTGTTATCGCACTACAAAAACAGAAATCAAGAAAACCGATATAATGAAATGTCGGTGGCGTAGGTTTTGCGTCCATCTGTCCATTGTCCACCTCATCGACTTATGCGAGATTCTTTCCCCTCGCATAGCCGTCCTCCGTCTTAAACTATAGCATCATAAGAAGGTCACTATCATCAACTACTAAACACCGACCGACGCAGCTGATGAGTACGAATTAAATGCATTCTATTATTAGTTGGAGGAAGTCATCCGCAATGAAAAAGCATATCATAGATTTGTTGTTGGAGACCTCGACGCTAGAATAAGAAACGCCAACGAAAGCGAATACAGGATCGGAAATTTGGATTAGGAAAAAGAACTGAGAATGGGAACCGTCTCGCAAGACTGCTGTCCCCAGCACGTCTCTTCCATGGAAACTCGCTTTTACAGAAGAAAGAAAGACGCCGCTGGACATGGGAGTCCCCTAACGGCATGTGGAGATCGACCATATTCTAACAAACAAAAGGTGGTGCCTACTGGGCACATCGGTAGTTCCGTCATTCTGTACTGGTTCCGATGGCCGCCTTCTTCGCGCGAAGATTCGATTCAGCAGCAAGCTGGAGAGGAACTCTCATCATCGACCACGACGAAAAAATCTAGCTGTATACGACGGGAACATCCTAAACGAAGTCCTATCAGAACGTGACTGGCAGATTAAAGAAGAGCCGACCAAAAACTACGGCTCGTTGAGGAACTGAAAAGCTGTGCCGAACTCGCCTCAGTTCCTTAAGCAAGAAGATCGGATCGCATATCCATTACTAAGGAGTTGCCCGAAAAGAGAAGGAAACTGAAGCTTGATCCTACTGCAACACGTTCAACACGGCTAATAATAAATGCTAGCTGCAGAAGAGTTTTGAAGGAAGATCTACATCAGTACAAGCAGAAGGCACTACTGGAACCAGCAGAGAAAAGGAGCAGTCAGAAAAAATGCCATCGGGACTTGTATGATTATAATGTTCCGCTGCCAGCTATGATGAACGAAGATGGGATCTACAATGTTTACTTTTTTATTTTTTACCTTCTATTATTTTCATGGCACAGTATTAAGGAAAATACAACCACAAGATTGCTGAGATATTTGCAAAACTCCGAACCGCAGGTGTCTGCGGTGAGAAACGAACGTGCTATTGTCCTTTCCGGGGAGTAACGA